TTGGCTCGTGGCTAACAGCTGGAACGCGGATTGGGGAGACAATGGTTACTTCAAGATTGAAAGAGGCACCAACCAGTGCCAGATTGAGAACCCTATCATCAATGGCGGCCCTGTGGCTGGCTTGCCAAAGCTCTCCTTGGCTGAAATGGTTGTCTAAATCTGCACCTGCAGGGCTTGGTGCCTGGCCGTTTCTCGACAGAACTTCGGCCGCTTTTAATATCTATACGCTATGCTCTTTGCTTCGATAGTGCCCAGCACGATCGTATAGCATAGCAGGTTTCCCTGCAGTTCACATCCAAGAGGCTTTTGGTCGTGGATGTGGCAGCAGTGACAAGCGTGAAAAGGAAGGGCATTCACGTGTTTGGGACTACTTTATCTTGTCACAGTTTGCCTCTGAAATGCGGGAGGGGGGTGTTTGAAAGACTCGGTTCTGACCTTTTGACAAGCGTGGTATCGACTTTGCAGCTTTGGCAGGTGTCACGAGGGCAGCCAACAGCCAGAAGTGCATCCGAGCAGGGGGGAAGCACAACGACCTAGTCATTTAGTTGCAGCAGAGATTGTGCTTTGAGAAGCTTTTGGAATAAGGATAGGTCGAACCGGTTTTGACAAGTTAGCAAGGTTCACTCTGCATCAAATGGCAAAGCTACTGGCCTCAGGATGACGTGGGAAAGGATGTGTACCACCACACCTTTTTCGAGATGCTGGGCAATTGGTGACTTTCCAGAATTGAGCGTTTGCAAAGCATCTACGGTGTAAAGGCACTCTCGGAGAACTGGTTTCCACCAGGACCCATACGCAACTACTCAAACAATGCCAGACAATCAAAGAACGCAATGCGCAAGGGATCTTCAGAGCAAGCACCTGTTTCAATTCTTTTCGTTACCCCCAAAGTTAGTTTTTTGTTTTCTGCACGAGAGACAAGCCAAAAGGTTTCATACATGCATCAGCCTTCAACAATGGAACGACGTTCTCGGCACCAGCCTTGTGAGGAGTTTCGGAGATTACTTCAAGGGAGAGGCAATTGATTGGGCTTGGGAGCTTCTGACAGAGGCCGGGGAAGAGCAACTGATGAACGCCAACCACACCATCCTCACGGATCTTTTCTTGTGCGCAATGCAACGAACCAAGAGTAACCAAGGCTTCAAAGCCTGGACCGCTTAGTTCGTGTTTGGCCGTTCCATCATCAATTGGAAAGAAAATGAAAGAAACAACCATATACATGTATTCATCAGTGAAAAGGTGCTCGCGCTTAGAAGGGGCCAACTAGAAAAAAGGCTGCACGAACGTTTGCAACATATCTCAGGTATATGGGCTCAACCCAGAGCGTCTTTATGCCAGCTATTTTGGTGGTGACGAGGAGTCGCTTGGACGGGAAGCGCAGCAGCTCAACTCCTGTATCCAACGAACATGACTGTTCCAGAGTGCTGCATTTAAAAGCACTGGCGTCGTGTGATTGGAGGCCATGAACATCAAGCACCTTTTGCATCCTTTTGCTGGAAAGTTGTGCTTGTCGTCAGTATGTAAATGGCTTTGAGCCGTTCGTAGGTGTAGTAAAAATACAATTCAAACAGAAAGTTACTTATTGCTGGACTTCTGGCTTGGAACTGTTGAATCATCATAATCATGCTAGCAAACTGTCATCCACAAGTCTTTGGCTGACGCATGGCCTCAACTTGCCCTGAGGCTTGGATTGCCAGAGGACGTAGAAGCCAAAAAGCTTTGGCTGCGGCACTTGCCGTCAGATCGAGTGCTTCCCTTTGGCAAGAAGGAGATTGGTGCAGCCGGCTTTGCCATGCTAATGGTATATTATTTTTAGTATTACTTACTGTTGATTCCTACATAAAAAGCATTCCAATGGCACGTGCATCTCCACACGCCCAGCCCAGGTGTGACTTTGCTTTGTGCGGCGTTTTGCCATTGTGGTGACAGTTAGTGAAAGTGTACACATATGCTCGGCCCGTAAAATTCAACTTTGAGATTGCAACCTGGATTTCTGCAATTATTGCCTGAGAGGGTGGGAAAACTGCTTGTCATAATTGTCGACTTCAGAGGACAACTTCTGGGAGATGGGTGCCACAGGTGTGCTGAACACAGACGTTTGGGAGCTTCCTTATCATCTCATGGCTCTTCATTCCAGTCAAACAGATTCACACATTATGTATACCGTTATGGATATTGTTTAGAGTCAATACATCAATACACCCATTCCATAATGCAGACATTTTCGTGCACCGAAGCCTTTGGGAGAGAACACACTCGCAGCACTTGCAATTGAGGCATGCTTTTTGTCAACACATCGATGCAATTTGTTCTAGCTTTTGAGCAGTGAGGTGCTGAAATCCTAGTCAGTTCAGCTATGTTCAGCTGAGCAGGCCCTTGCGGACCTTGCTCCGAGCTGCATTATGACCGCGTGGGCGGCCGCGACGCTGCAAAACTGGTGAATGCAGACGATCCTGATGTCATCGAGATTTGGTCGGGGCTCTACCTGTGGAATTCATTTTGCAACATAATACGGAACGACACGGCATGTTGCAACAGTTTCAACACGTATTGCAAATTTGTTGGTCATTGATTCAGCTGAAAGAAGGAATGAGCATCGAGAACCACTCTTCAAGAGAGTTGTTGTTTTATATTTTTTGTTGCAGCTTGGAGCTTTTCCTGCAGTTTTGCAGGAATTTAGTATTCATGCAGTTTTTCCGCGGTGATGATGGTCGCCTTTCGGAGCTTCCAAACCGCCACATTGACACTGGAATGGGCTTGGAGCGGGTCACTTCAGCCTTTTGGCCGCGCATGTAAAGTATGTATGTATATAGAAATCCAACTGCTTTTGTTTGGCTTGGCATTTTCCCGAATAGAAGTTTGCTGTTGAACTCCTGCATCCTTTACGAGACATTGCGTAATTTGTTTGTTTTGCATGAATGTGCCTGGTGACTGTGTTTGGTTCTGTTTGACCCTGTGCTACACTTTGGGTTCAGTCCAAGACTTATTGATGGCACACATTGGCACAGCAGCTACACCCAGCGAGGTGCTCCAAGACATGAGGAGCAACTATGACACAGACATTTTCGGGCCCCTTTTGGCGGCTGTTAATGACTTGGTTGGAGGCACAGCACTGAGCCAGGAATCAGTAGGTTGAACGACCGCGGCTGTTTTTTGGGACCGCTTGAGCCAGCCAAACGAAACTGAACATAAATTGAGCAGTGTTGGCAATTTTATGCAATTTTTGAGGGTAGTATTCGCTTTAGCCTATATTTTCTGGGAACGCAGACAGTGATAGAGCCGTGTTTTGGACAGGCGAGCCCTACAAGGGCAAGGTTGGTGCTGACGATATCGATATGAGAGATACTGCTTATAGCAGCTGTGGCAGCAATAATGGGACGGATGGGCTGGGCGAAAATGTATGTGCTGCACCAGTGCACAGGGACAGCATTGGGGACTGGTTGCTGGAGATGTCCGGACTCTAGACCTTTTGTAGAGAAGCAAAAAAACAAGAGTTTCAATTCTCCTCTAACATTGAACCGGTTTCACAAGCAGGCTGCATCATAATGTCATATAATGTCCATGCCAGTTTGCAAGTACTTGCTGTCGGCTGAAATTAAGAATTTGGCGCACCAAGGGATTGTCGTGGACCATGCGAGAACCCTCACGATGGCAGTAGCTGATGGGGCCACGCCTTCTTCTGAAGGAGCTGAACACGGGAAGCAGTGAGTAATGTCATTCAAGGGTCAAGGTCCAGCTTAATAATTGTTGCCTGTTTGATCGTGTTTGATCCAACTTTTCTTTGGAATGCGAACAGACCTTATTGAAAAGCTTGGCAATGTTCAGTTTTTGTAAGGTTCCCCTTTCCAAGCCCCCCCAGAAGAAAAAGAAACACACACTTGAGAAGGTTGCTCCGTGGAGCGCGATTTCAGGCTGCTTC